AGTTGAACCATATCCTAGGGTGATCCAGAGCTATAAGGACAGAAGGAATTACTACATTATTCTTCTACTGGTTCTTGAGAGTAAATTGTATACTTCATGCTATCCGGTCGTTAAGGAGTGTTGCTAGACGTCACCCTTGATTAGTATATTGATGTGGTCAATTTACTACCGATTTAGTATTGAACCTATGGGGTCACACACTAACGAGTATTATGATCTTTGCTAAAGGATTAATTAATTTATTATTTGTTAATTAAATTAAAGAATTTAATTAGTCAAATAAATTTAGTTAGTTAGTCCAAATGAAATATTATTATATTCTTTGCTAGCACAGAGAATATAATTAATATTGTGAATAAATTAAAGTTTTCTATTTAGAATAGAAAATTAAAATATATCTCTTGGTTGAAATATATATATGTGATATATATAATTAATATTTACTTATATAAGGTATGCATGTAAAATATTAATGAAAGACTTTTAAATCATATCCAATTTAGAATTGGATCTTTACGTATTAAAGTCCATAAAGGACTAGCTGCCGCCGACGTGCATATCATCCCATTAGGAATGGGATAAGAATTTTCCAATGGAAAACTTTTTACGAAGTCTATTTTTGGAACTAGACTTGTACCCAAGGTAATTCACTACCTTAACCAATAGGAAAAAGGTTTAGGTGATGATATAAAAGGGGTCATGGAAAAGTTCCGTGGTTGGTTGATTGATAATACACTTTGTGAAAGTGTGTGATTAAAAACTAAGAGATATATCGCATTATTTGCTGGAGTTTTGAGAAAATTTAAGCATAAGTTCTTCGTTGAATTTGTTTGCGGATTTCATTGATCAAAGAGTTGATAGCAAGGACCGGTCTCGGTGTGGATACACATAGAGTCTTTGCACTATCGAAGAAATTTTGAAACAAGACTTTCTTCACCAGGTACATCTTAGATCCGATCTATTGACATGTAAATAAATTTTAAACACGAAAAAATCTGCCTAGGATTGTTATTGTCTTCCGCTGCGTGTTACGAACACCTATACGCAATCCTTCAATTACAACATTTATTTGATGATATTTATGATAAATTTCATAAAAGGTATGCTTTTCCAACATTTTTTTAAAATATGTCATAAAAACGTGACATTTAGTTAAAATGGTCTAGAATATTGTGACGTTTAACTTTAATGTCGTAGTATAAGTCGGTAATGAGTGACACTTACAAGTAAACATGGTAATTTCTCTACATTTAATTTTACTTAGCAAATCATATTAAATTAGTAACTTAAAAATTTACCTACTAAATTACCTACACACCCCCCCCCCCCCCCAATCCTTTACTTTGTCCTGGTCGTCGCCCGTCCACTTAGGAAAAGAAAGCCGAAAAATCCTACACCATTATCAGTTGGACGGAACCCCAACACGACAAGTTCGTCGAATCCCTCTAAACGTGAGTCTATATTTCGATTGTTATTCACTGCTTGATTTCCCTTTGTATTTTCTTCTCAACTAGGGTTTTAAATATAAATTTTAAGATTTCTAATCGAGTTCGTCAGTGTGTTAATGTGACTTTCTCGCAGGCGATTCTTCTTTTGCTGGTGCCTTTCTCGTTATTAGCTTCTTCTCCGCCTCTAATTCCTTAAGCTTGTGATTTTTAAGGTTATTTTCCTGCAAAATTGGTACTTTAATTTCCTGAAATCTTTTGGATACTTTTATTCAGCACTTTCATATCTCTGCAAGATACTAGTTTAGAGCGCTCAATGGAAGGTGAAGTTTGTTTCTTTATTTAATTTTTTGCTTCTAAATCAAACTTAATTTTGCTTTTGAATAAAGAATTAGGTCAATTTCCTTTGGTTTTTCATGAGTGATGAATATTAATAAGTTTTTCCTCCAACGAAATTTACATGATTGATTGCTTTGTTGTAGGTCAATTTCAATGTAAAAAATAATCAATGATGTCAATTTCTTGCTAAACATGAGGTAACTCCTGGTTTGAGATATGAATGCTTCTTTTCTTTTCTTTTTTTTTTAATACATAAGCAAGGTGGAGATAGTTTGTCATACTAAATTGGTAGGAGATTCAGATTAATAGTTAATTTGGTAATATATGAAGCAAATCGTTTCATTTATGTTTCTGAAGCATTAGTTACCTAGGTGTCAGATATAGTTGGAACAGTAGGCGGGCTTCTTGGAGTTTAATTCAGATTATAAACTAGCTCACACGCCAAAAAGCAATATATTGGTAGGTAAGATTGCGTTATATCCTTATCTGTTAAAACAATCTTTTAGTCTAGGAGAATAACTTATTCCGATAATCATTCTGATTTGCGTATGCCAGTCAAAAGGATCATCTTCTTTCAATTAGGATAAGTAGTATCTGGTTTACATTACTCATTACTCAAGACAGTACTATCACGAATGATTAGCACTGAAATGAACTACTAACAGCATTATCGTGCCGATGCTCAAAAAGAGTTCCCATCCCTGTCAAAGGTTCATTACCTTCACAATTTAATGAGATTAACAAAATTCTTATGGTTCACTTGTGAAAAGATATTAATCTATGATGCATAATAGATGAATATCATACAAGCTCTGTAATTGAAAAAGGTGAAGAAGACAACAAGGACGTGATTACATAAAGAGCGAGATAGAGAAATAGTGCAGCAATGTTTTATTTGCGACAACATAGTAATTAACCTTCTTTCTGAAAGCAATTTTTGAAAAAGAAAATTCCAAAACTTGCTACACAAATACTCCTCTGACTTGACAGCTAAATTTCCAGATATTCGATAATCAGCATCAGTACTATAGAAATCAGAAAATATTTGGTGTACATGTAGAACTTGACAAAGAGAACTTCTCCTTGCTGTTGCATTTATTTTACTAAACAAATATGTGTTCAAGCATATTTAATTTGCCATTTTTTAACTTTATGTAACAGGTATACATTTGTGGCTCGTTTATTCTAAAAAACTTGAATTTCATTATTGTTTCCCCTACTTTTCAATAAGTAAGTTTCTCGCTCATTTTTGCCTTTTTGCCTTTATGATGAAAGCTCTTAAGCGACAAAACTTGTAACATTGCATGTGATACCATTTTCTATATATATAATTCTATAGAGGTGGCCTGCTAACTTTTTTTTTTAATCCATATGTTTTTTTATTTCTAATTTGCGCCCTTATCTTTAGTTTGCTGTCAGAGGTCTCTTTCTCATCTTCATCAGAAGTTGATATGAAAAAATTAGAATCAAGAAGAAACATTTCCAGCAGTGAAAAGAGTATGGCTATAGAGATTCCAGTTGCCGCTTTGTATGAAGGTTCTCCAAGTGACCAACAATGTGATCAGTGTTCTTGTAGTCCGCATTGAAATTTTTAATAGTTGGCATTTTCAGCTTGTTCCAAAGCTGTATTAGGAGAAAGTTGTATTGTTTGAGAGACAACATTTAGTTGTGTTAATGATATTTTAAAAATTAAATTATGTAAGTGACTCTTTTAGTTTTACACAAAATTATTTTCTGGTGTTTGACTTATGGTATCAAAATTATATGAATGATTATGGTACTAGATTAGAATTTATTATTTTGTTTAGCATCTAAATGACAAAAAAAAAAGCTATTGATTGATTAGAGATGATTTTCCGACGTTCTTATGTATGTGTAGCAAGGATTGGTATGATTTGCCGACATATTTTATATATATCGCAACTAGAATGAGTTTAAACTCAAAATTAGTGACATTTGTAAAAGTCGTAAATAAGTGTCAACATTTATTTGCAGACATTAATGTAAATGTCGGATAATTCTCGACTTTGAAATTTATGACATTTGATTTAAGAGTCAAATAAATGTCGGTAATTTATTTTGTGACAGTTATGTGACTTAAAATGACATTTAAGAAATGTCGTCGTATCCTAACTTTCTTGCATGGAGCTAGGGATTATCACTATTGTACTACTTGTATTGCTTCTTGGTTGCATCTTTTGCTAGTAGATGCGCCACTTGGTTCCCTTCACGAAAATTATGTCGAAGGAGTAGGTGCTTCTGCTGGAGCATCAATAATCTGCATGCACGAACAATGTTAGATAAAACAATGTAGTCGTGGTGAATTGCTTTGATTGCTTCCGTTGAGTCTGTTTCCACCTCGAGTGGGAATTGGTTGGTTTTTGTTGCTATTTTAAGGCCTTCAAAGATCAGTTCAGCATGAACAGGTGAAATTGCACAATCCACTTTTTGGTATCCCATTATCCGGTCACCCAAGTGGTTTCTGAAGACACACCCCTAGGCCAGATTTATTATCATCTATTTGGAAGGCTCCATCCGTATTGAGTTTGTACCAATGTTGTTGTGGAGGGTGCCACTTTATGTTGATATTAATTTTGTTTTGGGTTGTAGCACCTGTGGAATTAAAGAAGTGATATTCTATAGCATTGTTGTTAATATCATTTAGGCGAGGTGGATAATTATGTTGTTTATATTATTGTTATTTCTAATAATCCAAATACCCT